CCCAACTCGTTGAGTCACTCCCAACTCGGCGAGTTCATGGACAAATCAGACCCGTGGTCAACTAAGTCAACTCGTCGAGTCCCTTCCCAGACTCGTCATGTTCTTCCTGTCATAACATCGTGGCATATTGACTTTGAATTGTCGAGTCCCTCCTTGGACTCGTCGAGTTCTTCAGCTTCCGAGTCCTAATCGTGTCCAACTCACTGAGTCATCTCCTAGACTTAATGGTTTCACTCACAACCAGAAAAAAGGTTAGGGTTCACGACCCGACTCGCCGAGTCCAAGAACAACTCGCCGAGTCCTCCACGTGACATACCCATTCAGTCGATTCTAATCCATTCCAATCTTCTACTCATAGACTGGGACTCCTTAGACTAGCATTACACGTAAAGTGCTAACTTTACGTGTATGCATGGTGTTATGAAGCTAAAACACCCAAAACAAGCCAAAATGAAGGTCTAAATCATAGAATGGAGTCATGGCTGAATAAAGGTGGCAACTTTGAGCTTCTAAAGCTCAAGAATGCCCAGATCTGAAGTCCTCACATCCCCAAAGGTCCAAAACTCGGAATGACCTTGGAAATGACCCAAAAATGACAACCTACAAGCTAAGAAGGAGATCTAAGTGAATAATAGCCAATGTATAAGCTTTATACCTCTATGAAGACAAAAATGAGTCCTTAGCTCTGGATCTTTGACCTTCCTTCTGCAACTCCAAGCCTTTTGCTTCTTTCCTCCAGCTTTAATCACAAAATGGCAAGAAATAGCTCAAGATCACTCAAGGTTGATTAGGGTTTTGAGATTAGGGTTTTGAAGGTGATGAAGGTTGGGATGGAGGCCAGATATGATGCTTAAATAGGGTGCAAACCCTAAAGATTAGGGTTTCATCCAGTCTGTCCTACTCGTCGAGTCAGGACTTCGACTCGTCGAGTAGCTTACTAAAAACCCGCACCTAATCTGCCTTCTACTCGACGAGTTAGGGCTACCAACTCGTCGAGTAGCCCTTCCAAAATAAATAAATAATAAGGTTAAATGCGTATCAGGAACCAGGCGTTAAACCCTTAGTCAATATGAGATCAAGCCCATTTCCAAGATGGTGTATATTCCGGGATGAAGTAGTTTCCGAGATTAGGTTCTTTCTAAGACTAGTCAAAATGTTATGTCAGAAGTGAAAGTACCCGTTTATTGTTTACTGTTTGTTTCTTAGTGTCGTGCCCGACAAGATCAACATCAACGGTTGTGTCTGGTTGTTGATCTTCAGTCCATGCACACTTTATTTATATTTGTATTATGTAACTCCTTGGCTATAAAAGGAGTGTCAATCTTTGTAAACAGTAGCAACTAGAGAACCACTTCATTCAATCAAATCAAGAATTATCCAGTCAATCATTTCTCTCCAGCATTCTTCTTGTTTCTTATATTGTTCATTGGTCATACTTTATCACATTTTACTTTACTTGAACACTTTGTTGAAATTATATCAGTCAAGGCTTGACTGGTTTATCCAGACCTGACTGGACTTAAGATCATTAACAACCATTGTCGTTAGTTAATTCAAGGTTTGGGTTTTCAAACCTTGTCCGCACAAATCCTTGTACCAACACTAAAAGCTTCGAAAACGATTTTAAATCATTTTTTTATTTTAGACAAATATCAACAATTAAGTAATTATTTGTATAAGTTTAGTATGTCCTCTATTGAAAATATAGTTATAAGCATGTCTATTTTTATTAAAGTAACAAGATTATGCACTAATTGTAGGAAATAATACTTGGTTTTGAAACTGAAGGAAACGATGATAGTCGCCGAAGTTCCTGGAAAAAAAAGGTAAAGGAAGGTGAAGGAATGAGGATGGGGTGGTGGGACCTGATAGTTTTATTCATTAATTTGAATAATAAAAAAACTCAAAAATAAATAATAACAATCATTTTAGGTAGGATATGAACTAAAATCAAAACAAAACAGAACCTTAGGGATGATCCTAGTTAAAAAAACGTTAAAAATCAAGCACACACCATAAGGACCGGTCTTGCATTTTACTAAAAAAAAAGAGCTGTATATTGTGTTTCTCAATTGAAAACAAATAAAAAACAATCCATATTTTTTTTTCATTTTTTTTGTTTCTTTAGGATTTATTTCATTCAAAACTTAAAAATAACAATTGCCTTTGTTTTCGCTCACTCCCATTCATTTACCATCCTTTCACACGTTAAGTTAAAGTGGGGAAGAACAAGTTGGGGCTAGCCCACTTGGCTAACATGGAGGTTTAAACTAACAATTAACTAGGAGCTTTTGGGTTCAATCCAAAAAGATAACAATTAACTAGGAGCGCTTGGGTTCAATCCAAAGTGAGGAGAAAAATATATAATTATTTGCGGTTTAAAAAAAAAGTTTAAGTGGGGAAGAGGATGTTAGGCTATCCTTATTGGTGAGCTAGAAAGTAAGGGGCCATTTGATGTTCGTCTGACTCGGGGTGGGTCAGCGATTTGGGCTGACTCGGTCAGCTAGAGTCGTTTGATGCGTCGCTGAGTCGGTAAGATGTTTGACTCGTTTGGCTTTCTCGGTCAGCTTCAGCCATTTGCTGACTGGAAAAACAGATAGACGATGCCCTCCCTTTATTTCTTACGTCCCTTTGTCTGTGTGACCTAAAAAAAGAACAACTTTTCTTCCGCCTCCATCGACAACGCCCCATCGACGCACCAACATAGAGGCTGCCAATCGCCGGACCTACGCCTGCCTTCAGTCGCATCTCCGCCTCCTCAGTCGGACCTCCTTCTTTTCCGGCTAGTGCTTCGTCAATACAAACAGACAAGGACAGGTAAGCAAAATTTTCCTTTTGCTGTGTAGAAGCTATGAAATTAATGGAATAAGTTGTTTATATTTCATTTGTATGGATTTTTGTTTCAGTGGTTTTCATATGTCAACCAAGGGAATAAATCGTTTAAAATAATGAGTGGCTGAATTTTGTTTCAATAGTATTGTTTCAACAGCTTACCCGATCTACATATTGGATGGATTTTTGTTTCAATCAATGTGATAAAGATAGAAAACTAAAGATAGAAAACTATGGATTTTTGTTTCAATAAATAGTGGTGTTTGTATATGTTGAATTTTGTTTACTGTGGAATTTTGTTTCACTCGTTTTTCGGTATGTATATTTCATTTGGTTTGATTTTTGTTTCAATCAATGTGATAGAGATAGAGATAGAAAACTATGTTGAATTTTGTTTGGCTTGATATAATTGATAAACATAGTTAACGTTTTATTGATAGAAAATTGTTTAATGTTTAAATATTATGTTAGCTTTTTATTTTTGTGAATTGGAAGCAATTTTGGTGTTCATCTTCATCTTGATATAAGTTATGATAAATTAGTTAATATTTATGTTTTGGGATGTTGGTTTGGAATGAGTGTGAGGACAAAACTTTTTTTGATGCATGTATCCACGATCTAACTACTAATGGTCATGTGTAATTTACATTTTGTATGACAATCTATATATTTTTATAATTATTCAACAACTTCATCCATCACTATATAGAGTAGGAGGGTAAAATGACCATTTTTCATCAGTCAGTACATTCAGTTAGATGTACAATCAAACAACAAAGTTTCTTTCTCAGTCATGATTTCTTACCCAAACAGACCTTTCCCAGTCAGCACTTTCTCAGTCAGCAACTATCAAACGGGGCCTAAGGCTCACCAATAAAATATTTAAAAATAAAAGAAAATTTGAAGAAATCCCACGATCTGCTCATGCCCACGATCCAAGCTCACCAATTTCTTAAACTTTTCATTGCCCACGTGTCCATCTCTCAAAGGTGGAATTAAATTAATTTTTATAAACCAGAAGTAATTTTGAAATAAATATACTTTATCTTTATTAAAAAATAAAATAAAATATACCAAAATACATGATTTATTTTTCTTTACAAAATGAGATGAATATTATTATATATATATTAAAGTTATGAAAAGTTTTAACAGTAAATTGGCATATTTTTTGTTTTGGTCCTCCAACTTACAACATTGACCCTTCATCTTTATGTTTTTGTTCACAAACAACCATTTCACTTTGGTTTGAATTTTTCATAACCCTCGCATTTTATTACATATTATTAGTATTTAGTCTTTTGGCAGAAATGGTCCCTCATCATTATTATTATTATTGTTAGACAAAATCACACGATTGGTCCCTGTGGTTTACCAGATTTAACATTCTCTTTTTTGGTTTTAAATTAATGTTTTATTTATTAGAAAATACCCACCCAATACCATAAACCCACCCACCATCTGCCATCACCACCACCACCACCGCCAAAATTACATAAATGGTCCATATGGTTTACCCATGGTGACAAATTCAGTCCCTACTATCTGAAAAGACCAAATTACCCTCGTATTAACGGACAAAAAACAACCAACATGCTACTTTACTTTACAAAGCAATACTTTCCGATTCCGGCAACACCGGAGAATCTTTTCTGGTTGATATAATTTTTTAGCTAAAAATTGGGTTGGGTTGGATTAAGTGATAAAATTTTGGTACGATTGGGTTGAGTATTTTAACGAGAAATAATATTTTTTTAATAGACAACACCCAATCCATTGATGAGAAATAATAATTTTTTAATGAGAAATAATAATTTTCTTGCTTTTGTCTGTGTGCGCTCCTTGCCGTCCAGTCCATTGATCATCGATTCTTAATTTATACCGCACAGTTGCAAGAACAAACCAGAGGAAGAACACTATACCAGAAAGCAAGAAAAAGCGACCAAGCTGATGGCGATGAAAGCCAAAACCCAACTGGTGATTGGAGACGACGGTGTAGCTATCATCACCCTCAACAACCCCCCTCTCAATTTACTCTCTTTTGAAGGTAATACCTAGTACGAGCATACATACAATTACAAATACCTACAACTGTTTTTCATCGTTGAAATTGATCAAGAACTTGTTTATGAGAGAGAAACACTCCGACCCGTGATTTCTTATACGAGAATGGACTGATTTCTACTTCAGAACTGTCACGAAGTAATGCTTTTTAGAGGAAAACTATGAATAAAGTAAAGCTTGCTGAGAAATTCTTCTTCGTAAAGTGTTAGGGTAGCTATTTATTTATGTAGTTGAACACACAGTGGCTAAATTGTCCACGAATACGAATTTTCGGTTCTTCATTGACACATTAAAATGTCCTAAGTCGTAACTATGAATATGTGCAGGATGTGTTTGTTCTATTTATGAAATACTTACTCATGGAATCTACCTTACAACTATGTCTTGGTTTGCTTTTGTATGTTGACAGCTACGCTAATGATTAATTTTCAGAACTTATTACTCTGGATGACTGTATTTATCTACTCCATGTCCAAGATAATTGCTTTTTTCTTGTCATGCAGTTATGCTTAGCTTAAAAAGCAGCATTGAAGAAGCCCTGCTATGCAATGAAGTTAAAGCGATTGTGGTAAATGGTATGCATAAATTTTTGACCTTTGTTATTCAAGGTACTGTATGGTAAGTGATAACACACACACACACGCTTATAATATATATGATAAACAATGAGTTGATTGAACAGGTTCAAGGGGTAAGTTTTCTGGGGGAGCCGACGTGACAGTTTTTGGGAAATCTGAGATGGTAAAAAGTGAGTAGTAAACCAAGTTTATGTTTATTTCTTAGAATTGCATGTGTTGCTATCTTTGTGAATTGTGATACTTAATATTATTCAACAGAACGAAACGAGGTTGGTTTCTTATCAATAGAGTTGATCACAAACCTTTTGGAAGGTATGTCATTCATTATATCTCTGTGATTTCTCAATTTGTAATAGGTATCTACCAAAATCAATGCCAATGTTGATGATACCAATTCTCTCTATATGACATGACTCATGAGTACTATGGGCTTTTTCACATGAAGTATTTAAAGGCAAAACCATCTTTATATTATTGCTGTTATTAGTTTTGTATGATAATTCTCAAAATCTTGTGGTTATTTTGATGTGATGGACTTTAATAAAAACTTTCATTTCATCTAGTTGAGTGTAAGTATAAGGGCAAAGCACAACGTAGTTTCACCAATCTGATTGATTTTTACCCACTTGACTGTTTCTTTTTTTTTTTTTTTTTTTTTTTTTTTTTTTTTTTTTGGTGTGTGTGTGTGTAATGATAAAACCAATATACTTTTATGTCTTATTGAAAACAGGTAATTTTATTGACACAACGACGGCGGTTACATTTACATACTTTTGAACAAGACAATTAAATTGTAAGGGTTTAATCAACAAAAAGAAGTTGAGGGACTTAATCAGTAAAGTTGTGAAAGTAGGTTGTCCTTTTTTACATGTTGCGGTTATTAATATAATGTCCAACTCAAACGGGGTAAACAGGCAAAAACAGAGTTTTCTATAAGTGAAACAAAGTATAAACCGTCATTAAAATTACAAATCTTGGACCCCTGATTCACATAACTATCTATTATTTCATTTATATACTCATATTTTTATTCTTTAATTACAAAACTAACTTGTAAGTTGTAGCAAAGTTTTTTTTTTCTTTTTTCCATTGATAGATGGGTCACCTGACCTGCATAGGGGATCTGGGGCTTCAGTCAGGAGAAGAGTCGCGGTGTCTTAGAGTAAATATTCATTATAATTTATATGCATGAGTGTGGTCTGTGGATAATCAATCGTGTTTTATTAGTTAGCACTTAGCTTAAGCTGTGGTCTGTGTTTTATGCTGCACGCAGCTGCAAGAAAGCCTTTAGTAGCAGCCATAGATGGGCCTGCTTTTGGTGGTGGACTAGAGATAGCACTGGTAAGAAACATGATTCACCTTCACCTTCCTTTCATTTCAAATGACAACTTTTTTCTTTTTAATGCTTTAATTTGTTTGTTAGGCATGTCATGCACGCATATCCACACCTACCTCACAACTTGGCTTGACAGAACTGCAATACGGGATCATTCCTGGATTTGGAGGTGACATTTTTTCACACATAAATATAAAAAAAAAAAAACCTTTCTGTATGATCCATTATAATAGCTACCATCTGAACCAGGCACTCAGCGTCTTCCACGCCTTGTTGGCCTTCCTAAGGCTCTGGAGATGATACTGGTATGCTACATATATACAACTTGTGCATTCTGTTTGTTGCTTCTTTAATCATGTGTTAGATGAACTGATCCCACTCTCTCTCTCTCTCTGTGTCAAATAATAGATGTCAAAACGAGTAAATGGGAAGGATGCTTTTAGTATGTCCCTTGTTGATGCTCTAGCCCCTGCTGATGAACTAATCAGAAGTGCATCTAGATGGGGTTTGGATATTTCAGAAGCTAGAAAACCATGGATTCGTAGCCTTTACAGAACCAACAGACTAGAACCGTTAAAAGAAGCAAGGTTAATACTGAACATGGCGAGAGATGAAGCACAAAAACAGAACCCAAATGTGACTCATCCATTAATTTGCATTGATGTCATTGAAGAGGGTATAGTTTCTGGTGCTCGTATTGGACTATGGAAGGTACATTTCATTGCATTTCTTAGATTGTTTGAATGTGATGAATGGATGCTGAAAAAGTTCTGGTGGCAGGAAGCAGAGGCCTTGAATGAACTCCGGCAATCTGAAACTTGTAAAAGTTTGGTCCACATCTTCTTTGCTCGATATAACACTTCCAAGGTTTGTACACCTTTCTTATACTAACAGTTAATGTTGATGAGATGACTTGTTAAAAGCAGTTACAGATTTCAGGTATAACTGATATGGGGTTGCAGCCTAGGAAAGTAAATAGAGTTGGTGTTATTGGTCCGGGGTCAATAGCAATAGCAACAGCTTTTATCCTTGCTAACTTTCCTGTAATTCTTAAGGAGGATGATGAGAATTATCTGGTGTCTGCACTTGGTGAAATCAAAGGTCAGCTGATAACTTAATTATGTTTGTGTTCCCATATGAGCTTAAAAGGGTTTTATTAGTTCTTGATGTAATTAACTTTAGGTAATCTCTTTGTGTATGAATGAGGGTTGCAAGATTTCTAGATTAATCACAGTCAACTCACAACTCTTACTTGGTTATCTTCATCTTCAGCCAATTTGCAGAGCCATCTTATGGCAGGGAAAATGACCACGGAGAAGCTTGAAAGAGCTGTATCTCTGTTGAAGGGTGTACTCAATTATGATAGCTTCAAAGATGTGGATTTAGTTGTAGAGGTGAGTGTATTCATCTGTTACAACAAGGGTTTTGGCAGATAAGTCCCTGAAAAGGAATTGCATTGCATGATGTAAATTTCTTAAATTGGAACACATGAGAACTATCTAAACTTTAACGATTACCAGATGTTGAGGTTTTTGTCAGACTGCTAGTGACACAAGTATCAAACAGAAACGTGGTAGCCGAATACAAATGACAAAACAAAAACCAATGTCATGTGGTATCAAACACATGACAGTACTGAAAAGAATTGTGATCTATATTTCACACAATAAAGATGTACAGGGGCTTAATTTATACTAGAGCCTATCTCACTAATTTAGGCAACTATGTAAACATGGAAATTAGACACCTTGATTTACTCCTAATTGACAGCCTAATATACAGCTAATTTACAGTTAATTTCCAACACCCCCCTCAAGCTGGAGCGTACAAATTGTATGTTCCAAGCTTGTTACAAATATAATTAATCCTTGGCCCTGCGAGAGACTTTGTGAATATGTTTGCTAGTTGATCATTTGCTTGAGCAAACTTGTAGCAATCTCTCCTGAAAGAATTTTCTCTCGAATGAAATGGCAGTCAATCTGTATGTGCTTGGTTTGTTCATGAAAGACTGGATTTGATGCAATATGAAGAGCAGCTTGATTGTCGCATATCAACTGCATCTGTTGAACCTTTATAAGATTCAACTCTTCAAGGAAATGCTTCATCCATATAAGTTCACATGTTGCTTTTGCCCTGGCTCGATATTCGGCTTCGGCAAATGGTTTCTTGTTTTTCCATGAAACAAGATTACCCCCAATAAAAACGCAATACCCAGTGGTTGAGCGTCTTTCAAATGGACAACTCGCACCATTAGCATCTGTATAGCCTACTACTTGAGTCTTTCCTTTGTTCTCATATAATAGGCCCTTTCCCGAAGTTTTCTTGATGTATCTCAAAACCCGGACGGCTGCATTCCAGTGGCTGTCACATGGCATACTCAGGAATTGGCTAAGGACGCTCATTGGGAACGTTATATCAGGACGTGTTACCGTGAGGTAGTTAAGTTTGCCAATAAGTCTTCGATATTTGCTCGGGGTCTGGTAAAGGTTCCCCCTATCTGGAAGTAGCTTGACATTCGGATCCATTGGACTGTCTGTAGGTTTGCAATCAGTCATGCCGGTTTCTTTCAAAATATCCGATGCATACTTTCGTTGGGAGATGAAGACGCCCTGTTGGTATTGTGCCACTTCTATTCCCAATAAGTACTTGAGTTTTCCTAAATCTTTTGTCTCAAAGTGCTGGAATAGATGTTGCTTGAGCTTCTGAATTCCATCCTGATCATTTCCAGCAATCACGATGTCATCCACATAAACAACCAAATGATAAGCCTGTATTTGAGAAATGTATTTGAGAAACAGGTATTCTCCCAATAGTTAAAGACTCAATTTTATTAAAGCATAAATATCCTAAGCTATGGAGCGTTATATTTATAACGTCCTGCTACAAATCCAGAATAACAAACTCCCTAACTCAAATAATAGATTATACTAACTTTAAATCCTAACTAATAGTTATCAGCTTAAATATAAAATAAACCCTTATCCCAAATTTTGAGCCAAACCATGTCTTTGATACTCTCCCAAAACGCCTATCAATCAAAGCCGACTTATCAGTACTCCCCTGCCAAACTTGAACCTTGTCCTCAAGGTTAAACTTCGGAAACTGCCTGTTGATCGCAGCAAACAGCTCCCAAGTTGCTTCATACTTAGGCAAATCCTTCCACCTAATCAACACCTCCCGACCTTCGAGCCCCTCGCGCACCCCCTCCACCTGTCCCGGTTGCAAAATCACTACCATCTCATCCGTGAGGGTGACTGGTAACTGTGGAGTAGCGATACGATTCTCAATCAACTTCTTCAATTGGGAGACATGAAAAACGTCATGAATCCTAGCTGTCTCCGGAAGTTTCAGCCTATAAGCCACGAGTCCCACTCTCTCCAAAACTTCAAAGGGCCCCGAAATACCTAGGAGCTAATTTCTCGTTCCTCCTCCTTGCCACCGTATGCTGTCTATAAGGTCGCAACTTGAGGAATACCTGGTCACCCACCTGAAAAGAAACATCGCGCCGCCTTCCATCAGCTACACACTTCATCTGCTGATGTGCCTTTATTAAATGCCCCCTCAATTCCTGCAGCATCCAATCTCGTTCCTCCAAGAATGCTTCAATGGTACCCACCAATGTCCGTTTGCACCCGTAATATAGCAGCTGTGGCGGATCTCTACCATACAAAACCCGAAAAGGAGTCGTTTTAGTGGATGTGTGAAAAGAGGTATTATACCAAAAGTCTGCCGACGGTAACCACTTTACCCATTGTTTGGACACATCTTGCACAAAGCACCTTAAATACGTCTCCAAACACCTATTCATCACCTCAGTTTGACCATCCGTTTGAGGATGGTACGCCGTACTTCTCTTCAGAGTCGTACCCATTGCTTTAAACAACTCCCGCCAAAACTGACTAACGAAAACCTTGTCCCGATCAGACACAATTGACTCTGGAACCCCATGCAAACGAACAATTTCCCTTATAAACACCCCGACTACTAATGGCGCTGTGTAAGGATGTTTAAGAGGGATAAAATGGGCATACTTACTCAATCTATCCACCACTACAAAAATGACGGTATTACCCTCTGACCTTGGTAAACCGTCTATGAAGTCCATAGCTATATCAGACCATACCCTCATCGGCAATTCCAGTGGCCGAGGTAATCACCCCGGAGCCAAGGTCGAGTACTTCTGCCTTTGACATGTATCACACTCCGCTACCCACCTGGCAACATCCGTCCGCATACCCTGCCAAAAAACTTCACGCGACAACCGCTGGTACGTTTTATGAACTCCCGAGTGTCCTCCCACCACTCCCTCATGGTATTCCTTAAATAAAATCGGTACCTAACGAGAAGCTTTCGGAATGACCAGCCTTCCTTTGAATAACAGCCTTTCGTTTTCACACGTGTACCCCACAGCTTCGTCTCCCCCTGACTAAGCTTTTGCTTGACAGCTTGAATACCCGGGTCCACATCTAATTCCTTCCAAAGTTCAGCACAATCCACCTGACAACTAGCATGTAACGAAGCCATAACCGGATCCTCTACCTGCCTAGACAACGCGTCTGCCACCCCATTTTCTTTTCCCGGTCGATAAACAATGTCGAAATTATACCCCATCAGCTTAGAGAGCCATTTTTGGTGGTCCTCCGATACTGTACGTTGCTCGAGTAAGTACTTTAAGCTGCGTTGGTCGGTACGTACCACAAACTTCCGACCCAACAAATACGGGCGCCATTTTTGAATGGCGAAGACGATGGCCATGAGCTCACGTTCGTATACTGACTTCAGTCGTGCCCGTGCCCCCAAAGTGTGGCTGTAGAAAGCCACTGGTCTATCATCTTGGAGTAAAACCGCACCCAATCCCTAACCGGACGCATCCGTCTCAACTATGAATTCCTTTGAGAAATCTGGAAGTGCAAGAACGGATACCTTTGTCATAGCTTGCCGGCGTTTTCGAAAAGCTTCAGTAGCTTCATTAGTCCAATGAAAACCATCTTTCTTCGATTGCTCTGTTAACGGCCAAGCAATTTTCCCATAATCTTTGACAAATTTACGATAATACCCCGTGAGACCCAAAAAACCCCGCAACTCACGCAAGGTTTTTGGGACCGGCCATTCCAGCATAGCACTGATCTTCGTAGGATCAACAACAACTCCTTCCCTGGATATGATATGGCCTAAGTACTCGACCCGAGCTTGACCAAAAATGCATTTTTTCTTATTAGCAAACAACCGATTCAGTTGTAATTTCTCCAAAACTGAGGACAAATGTTGGACATGTTCTTTCTCGTTTTTGCTATACACGAGAATATCATCAAAGAAAACTAGAACAAACTTCCTCAAAAACGATCGGAATACCTTGTTCATCAAGGCTTGAAATGTCGCAGGAGCGTTAGTCAACCCGAAGGGCATGACAAGGAACTCGTAATGCCCCTCGTGAGTACGAAAAGCGGTCTTTTGAACGTCCTCGGTCTTCATCCTAATCTGGTGGTAACCCGATTTAAGATCGAGTTTGGAAAATACCAAGGTTGTAAAAATCGCTCGACGTTAGCTAGTCGGTGGACTGGGGTTAAGGGATTAATCGGCTAGGCGGAGATTAATCGGGGGATAAATCGGGGACCATTAATTGTTAATTTGTTAGATTTTAAAAAATTAAATATGACTAATATCATATAAAAGTTCGTAAATGCCACTAATATCATAACAAAATAGGTTAATATGAAAAATACAACACTAATCACACCTCAAATAATTTTTATTGAGATATAAATTCTTCAAAGTGTTAAAATTTCATCGTGTTCTACTGTTTCAGTCATTATGTATGCATGGATTAATCGCTAGGCGCTCTCTAATCGGTCGAGTAGCGCCTAGGGATTAATCGGGATTTTTACAACACTGGAAAATACCGCTGCCCCACTGAGTTCATCTAAGAGCTCATCAATCACCGGTATCGGAAACTTATCCAAAACCGTCGCCTTGTTCAACACTCGATAGTCGACGCAAAACCGCCAACTCCCGTTTTTTTTTTCACGAGCAACACCGGACTCGAAAAGGGACTCGTACTTGGCTGTATGATTCCCGCATCCAACATTTCTTATACCAATTTTTCGATTTCATTTTTTCGGATATGGGGATATCTATATGGACGGACACTACTCGGGGCCGTACCTTCGCGCAGAGTAATGGCGTGTTCGTGGCTTCGGTTCGGGGTAACCTCGTTGGCATATTGAAGACGCCACTAAACTCATCAAGGATTGCTTGCACTGACCCGACATCATGGGTTGTGCAGTGCCCTCGTGTACCATACCAAGCTCGAGCAAACACCCCTCCCCTTCTTCTTTGAGAAAGCGACACAAAGCTTTACAAGATACCACTGATTTCGATAGACTAGGATCCCCTTGTATGGTTACCAACCTTCCCTCCTCCCAATATTGCATCTTCAATGTCCGCCAATTAACTACCATATCCCCCAAACGCTGAAGCCAAGTCATCCCTCAAATAAGATCCGACCCGCCCAGATCCAACAGAAAGAAATCTTCAATTATTTCAGCCTCAGGAAGGTTTAGTATGACCTTGCAAGCCCGCAACTTGTATCAGTCCTCCCGTTCTCTAGTGTCACTACCACCTTTCGCCTACCCGAACTCTCCAACCCTAACCTCCCCGCTGTGGCCTTGGAGATGAACGAGTGAGTAGACCCGCAATCTATCAAGACCACCACCTTATTGCCTCCAATTTTTGCCCATACGTTCATCGTGTGAGGAGGGGTTAACCCACTCACCGATTTCAACGAAATCTCCAAGGTCTCAAAGTGGGCATGTTCCCCCCCTTCATCCTCTGGTTCCGCATCATCATCTTCCTCGTGGACCATCATAACCTGTAACGATTTGTTTGGGTATCGGTGACCCGGCCCAAACTTCCCGTCACATTTAAAACATAACCCCTTAGCCCTTTTATCCAGGAATTCTGCTTCTGTGAGCCTTTTAAAAGTTGAATTAGGCCCACTCTCTTTCTTTACCGCCTGACTTGGGTTAGTATTAAATTGATTGGGTTTGGTTTGGAACCCGAATCCCCCCTTAGACACAGAACCGGATCCGGACTTTGCTGCCGTACCCGGTTTGACAATACTACCCCCTTTATTATCATCAATCTTAATTGTCACCCTAATTGCTTGTTCTAGTGAAATCGGCTCCGCAGTTCGTACCTCTGCCCGAACTTCCGGTTTCAGTCCCTTGATGAAGGTGCACTCCATTATGTCGTCCGGAACACCCAATAACTGACCAGCGAACCCTTCGAATTTGTCAACATACTCCCGCACTGTGCCCTCTTGACGGATGTCAAGAAATTGCTCTTTGACACTTCCTTCCTGTGATTGTTAAAACCTCTCCAGCAACTTGCGTTTAAAACGAGACCATGAACCAAAAGGCGACTTCTTCTCCTTTCAACGAAACCATGACAGAGGTGGACCCTCTAAGCAGATTCCCACGGCTTTCAATTTATCCTTCCCACGGAATTGATGCAATTCAAAATACCTTTCAACCCTGTAAAGTCAGCCCTGTACATCGTCCCCTGAGAAAATTGGTATCTTCATCTTCCTACAATCGCGGACCAAGTCACGTTTCTTTCCCTCTTTCCCTTTCCTTGATCACTTTGAAGCCCCCGATTTTGACCTTCTGTCCGACAAATCCGAGTCTTCATCCGACTCGTCGTTGGGGTCCGATGGTGAGTCGTATTTGGATTGCTTCTTCTTAGATCCACCCATAGTCACCGTTAATTCCGCCACAGCCTGGGTTAACTGTTGGATTTGATCAGCAAATTCCGCCTGGCGAGCCTCAGACGATTCCACAACCTTGTTGACAACATCCTCCAACGCCACAATCCTTTCGGTGTTGCTGCCTTTGCCGGAAAGCTTTCTGGATTCTGACATCAAGAGCGAACGGCTCTGATACCAACGTGATAAGCCTGTATTTGAGAAGAAACAGGTATTCTCCCAATAGCCGGACTCAATTTTATTAAAGCATAAATATCCTAAGCTATGGAGCGTTATATTTATAACGTCCTGCTACAAATCCAGAATAACAAACTCCCTAACTCAAATAATAGATAATACTAACTTTAAATCCTAACTGATAGTTATCAACTTAAGTATAAAATAAACCCTTATCCCAAATTTTGTGTCAAACCACGTCTTTGATAGACCCTCCCAAAACGCCTATCAATCAAAGCCGACTTATCATCAAATATATGCAATGGTTAGAGGAGCAACGATAGAAGACAGAATGATCCGTTTCGCTCCGCTTCATACCAAATTTTTGATCATCATAAACAACCAAATATATGCAATGGTTAGAGGAGCAACGATAGAAGACAGAATGATCCGTTTCGCTCCGCTTCATACCAAATTTTTGAAGGACCGAGCTAAAACAACCAAACCATGCTCGTGGGGATTGTTTAAGCCCATAGAGAGAACGCCTCAGTCGACATACCAATTTAGACTCCCTCGAGCAACAAACCCAGGAGGTTGCTCCATATAAACTTCTTCTTGCAACTCCCCATGTAAGAAAGCATTTTTTATGCCCAACTGGTAGAGAAGCCATTGATGAATCGCAGCCATAGAAAGAAAAATCCATATTGAAGTCATTTTAGCAACTGGTGAGAACGTGTCACTGTAATCAAGCCCATAAACTTGCGTATAGCCTTTAACAACCAACCGTGCTTTTAACCGGTCGATATTTGCATCAGGATTGACTTTGACGGTATAAACCCAACGACAACCGACTGTCGATTTTCCCGGAGGAATCGGAACCAAATCCCAAGTACCTGTAGAGTGCAATGCATTCATCTCATCGACCATTGCCTGTCTCCATCGCGGGTCTGTAACAGCCTCCCTTAGATTTTTAGGAGTGGAAACAGAAGACAAAGACGATACAAAGGCAGTATAGGAAGGGGATAAACGATGGTCGCTCAAGAAATTATAAATTGGATAAGGATTACGAGTGGAACGAGTACCTTTCCGTTCAGCTACGGGACGGTCTAAATCAGGTTCCAACACAGAAGGCGTGATCGGCGTAGCAGGTGAGTCCGGTAGGCTTGAAGTATCATCAGGCTCACTCAAAGGTTCTGTTGTTGGTGAAGTCATGTGCTCAGGAGTATGTTCATCGAAAGAAGAGTCAGTCGGTTGGGCCGGCCGACGTCGATGGTAAGTACGCAAAGGTGGCGGCGCATTTGTGATAGGGTCCACGGGTGGTGACGAATCATTGATTGGATTTGTGATCGGATCCTCAGAGTGGAAGTTTGGTGGGTTCTATGGATCATCTTCAGGGACGAAATCAAGAGAGCACTTACTACGGTCGGTATGACTGAAGAATGGGGTAGTTTCGAAGAAGGTTACATCAGCGCAAATGAGATGTCGTCCAAGATTGGGAGAGAAACATTTGTAACCTTTTTGTGTTCGAGAATAACCCAAGAAGATACATTTGAGAGATTTTGCGTGTAGTTTATCTTTTCCGGGTGTGAATCATGGACAAAACACGTGCAACCAAAGACGCGAGGTGGAAGGGAAAACAGTGGTTGAGTAGGAAATAATAAAGAATGAGGGATTTGATTTTTTAACACCGAAGAAGGCATGCGGTTAATTAGGTAGCATGCTGTGAGAACAGCATCTCCCCAAAAACGCAGCGGAACATTGTTATGAAGGAGAGTACGTGTTGTTTCGATCAAGTGTCTGATTTTCCGTTCAGCCACTCCATTTTGTTGTGGGGTATATGCACACGAGGATTGATGAAGCATACCCTCTGAGGTCATGAATGATTGAAATGGAGTTGAAAAATACTCTTTTGCATTGTCACTTCGTAGGATACGTATGGGAATACCGAATTGAGTTTTAATTTCAGAACAAAAAGACTTAAAGATAGAAAATAATTCAGATCTATTTTTCATTAAGAATAACCAGGTACACCTTGAGTAATCATCAATGAAGGTGACAAAATAATTAAAACCCAAATGTGATGTAACACGACTAGGGCCCCACACATCTGAATGAACTAAAGCAAAAGGAGATCCAAACGATGATGAATAATGACAGGAGAATCAGTAGCAATACATGTTGTGGGTGAAGATGGTGATGTGAGGTAGTATAGCCCATGTTACTCACGTCCTACACCAATCGTCCTCCCAGTGTTTCGATCCTGCACAAGAAACAAATCATCCAAAAAAGTAACTTTATATGGTGGGGTTTTAGCTAGTTTACTAACAGAAATAAGGTTGAATGGACAACCAGGTACAAAAAAGACATCAAGAGATAATGAAGGCAATGCCCGTAGCTTTAGTTTGTGAGCCATTAAACATGGTAATATGGGACAATGTATCTGAGTATGTAATGTTAGAGAATAAGTTTCTGTTACCAGACACATGTTCGGTAGCACCTGAATCAATCACCCAAGGACCCATTGGGGATGATTGAGATATGCAAGCAATGGAAGATTGTTTATCTTCTCGTAGTTTCAGGAGTTCTTCATAATCAGCAGCAGAGATAGACACATTGCCCGGCGGGGTTCCCTCATGTGCAACATTAACTATCTTAGGTGGTTTAAGCTGAAAGCATCGGTCAACTGTATGACCAATCTTATTGCAATGGCTGCATCGGGGTCGGTTTTTATTCCCTCGACCACGGTTGCCTCCCTCCTTAGATGCAACAAGAATTGCAGAATCAGTGATGTTGGAACCAGGAGTGATGTTTGTTGGTGCTGAAATACGAACTAGCTGCTCAAACACATTATCAAGATTTAGAATCCCAGGAGTAGCTGGGATTTGGTTACGAACAGACTCAAGATCTGAACGTAATCCTGCAAGTGCAAGAACCACAAAGAATTTTCCACGTTGCTCTTCTTGCAATTCGAGATTGGTAGAGAATGGCATCAGCTCATTGAACTCTTGTCGGATAGTCTCTATGTTCCCAAGATATGTCTGCATATCCTGTTCTTGTTGCATGATTTTCTTCATATTAGAGACCACTGTGTATAAACGATTGATATCGTTCGAGTAAAGTTTCTTTGCTTTCTGCCAAACCTCATAGCAAGAGCGATACGATCGATATTGAGCAACAATAGTTCGATCTATAGAATTCCAGAGGGCATTACAAAGGAAGGCGTCAATATGCTTCCACTTGGGTTGGTCTTTGGCATCAATGTTTTTCAGTTGCTTTGTCAAGTGATCATCAAGACCTTGACCAATAAACCACAACTCCACAGTAGATGACCAAGTCATATAATTATCAGAACCTGTCAATTTTTCAGCAGAGAGAACTGGAGAGGAAGAAAGATTGAACATATTGTTTGTTCCAGACATTGTTTAACAAAACAGAATAAAAGAAATGCCTGTAACAGGAGTATGATAACCGAAAAATAACTTCTCAGCAAAGACGAAAGGATCTGGAGTATATGTTGGCCGGGGTCTGGTCCCTAAAGGTCTGAAAAGAAAAAAGAAACACAGCAGGAATAATAACACTGCTCTGATACCATGAAAATAATTGTGATCTATATTTCACACAATAAAGATGTACAGGGTCTTAATATATACTAGAGCCTATCTCACTAATTTAGGCAACTATGTAAACATGGAAATTATACACCTTGATTTACTCCTAATTGACAGCCTAATATACAGCTAATTTACAGTTAATTTCCAACAAGTACAAAAGCAACGGGGTATTTTTTTTAGTTAAAGGACTTGCTCATGCAAATAATTATTCTTCAGAGGCTTATTTGCGACATGTGTGAAAGTACATAGGGTTTTTTAATATAACCCTAATAAAATAACTTCAAGAATCACATTTTTGAAAGAAAGAAAAAAAAATACCTATAGTTTTCAGGTGTTCCAATAAGTTAAGGGGACTAAATCATGCAAAGAGTTTTCTCCAGGGACTTGTTTGCGAGAAGTGTGAAATAGGCTTTTTTTGAATTAAAACCGTGTAAAATAATCTCAAATCAAATTATTGAATAAATACCTATAGTTTTCGAGTGTTCCTATAGGTTGAGGGGACTGAATCATGCAAAAACATTTTCAGGGATTTGTCTATGGAAAAAGAGTGAAAGTATATAGGTCAAAATCCTTTTCTTAGAGCACATTGAGCTGAAATTATGTTACGTTAGGTGTGGTTTCTGGTAGTTAACGAGTCTATTAGCCCTATCTATGTTATAAATGAGTTGAATGAAAATGCAGTAAGTTTTGGTGTGTTGGCACTTGGCAGGCAGTGGAGGGAAGCATCCAGTTAAAGCAGCAAGTTTTTGCTGATCTTGAGCATTATTGCCCTCAACATTGCATTTTTGCAAGCAGTAGTCCCACACTTGACTTAAATCTAATTGGAGAAAGAACAAAATCCCAATTCCGGATTGCTGGGGCCCACTTGTGTAGGTAGGTAATCATATGTACTCGGTCGGTGTCTTGGTATGATCATTGGTACACAATGAGTGATATATCCTTGTAATAATATTATCACCCCTTCCAGTTCCTCTGTCCTGGAAATAGTTAATACTGAGTGTACATCGCCCCAAGTAATTGTTGACTTACTTGATGTGGCAAAGAAGATGAAGAAAACACCAATTTTGGTACGTAATGGCAGTAGCAGTGGACTTGTGGTGAACAGGATCTGTGGCATGTATTCTCAAGCAGCAATGTTTGTTGCTGCTGAACATGGTGAAGAAGGGAAGCACCATGTGGAAAAAGTGATGGAGAAATTTGGGATGGGCATCAGTCCATTCAGGTAGGTAGGCTGTTGGAACTTGGAATGTTTGCTCATAATTGTCATATCATTATAACCATGTTTTGCAAAATATATATATATATATATATATATATATATATATATATATATATATATGACAGAATGATGGACGTTGTTGTTGTTGAGAGCATGTCAACCCTATTACAAAAGAAGCAAGATACTGGTAATAAATATTGACTTGTGCTGCTGTTGACTGTTGAGTTGATTCCAAAAACAAAAAGAAACTATGTATATATAATTTATTCTTTTAAAACTTAGTTTGATGCCGCTCCTCCTGCAGGCTCAGGTACCTGGAACGAGGCAAAGGATTCGCCAAATGATTTTAAGGTTAGGTGGTATAGTATACTTACTGTATACCTCTTGCTTTCTTTCTTTCTTTCTTTCTTGTTGTTATCACTGTTGCTTAAGAAAGTAGTGCAATAACAATCCATATGATATTGAACTTTATTCCTTTATACCTTATTATATCCCATTTTTAATTAATAAAGCAGGTGGCAAAGTTGTCGGAAGAAGATATAATGAAGATGATATTATTTCCGGTTGTGAACGAAGCCTGTTGCATCATGGAAGAAGGAAGCGTTGTGAAGGCTTCTGATATCGATGTTGCTTCTGTTGTGGCAATGGGATTCCCCTCTTATAGGTACCTACCTTATCTTACTTCTTTAATTTCCTCTTCTCTTCTCTTCATATATGTACATTAAAAAGGAAAAAAGAGATCATTATCAATTCATGATTGATCAGGGGTGGAGTTGTTTACTGGGCCGATCATACTCTTGGATCCAAATATATCTGCTCAACACTCGAAACCTGGTCAAATACATACGGACCATTCTTCAAGCCTTGTGCTTATTTAAGGAAACATTCTTCAATTGTAAGGAAGAAATTTTAGTAAAATATAAATGTTTCCATATCACCCAACACTCTTAATTAACGATAGCTGTTCATCTCATAAAATCGCAGGGGACACCACTTATGCAGATCAAATCACACCTCTAGAATCGATCATCACCTCATGCTTTGCCTTTGCTTTCTTCATGTTGTAAGAAAATGTGCATTTATGCTTCCTAGTCGAGATGGTATTTAATTATGTGCTTCCAGAACTTGCTTATATCTAGGCAATCTCAATTGTTTTCTTCCAAGTGGAAAAGAAACACTAATTTATTATTATTTTGTTTATATCTTGATAGAATTTAAGGCGGATTAGGGATTCATTTGGGAGGTGCTTGTAATTTTTATAGATGGTTATTCAAACTTTTTATTTATTTTTCAGTTATTACTATTTTTTAATAGGTATAGTTATAAAATTGACCACATGATTATGCATGATAAAAACCGGGAATGACCCAGTGTCCCAATGCCTATATGACCACATACTATATATATATATATATATATATATATATATATATATTAACATTGTGAATGACCCAGTGTCTCAATTTCTAGAGCTTATTCTTTATCGAAAAAAAAATCTAAAAATATCTAAATTTATATATTAACATTGTGAATGTGAAAAATATTTTTCGGATTCACCGTGTGAATCTGGATTCATATTGTGAATTTTCAAAGATTCACATTGTGAATTTAACGTAAAAAAAATAAATTCGAATTTGATATCATTGGAAAAAGGATAAAAAGTTATGAATTTCTGTATTTTTAGTTTTTTTTTGATAAAAAATAAGTTCTAAAAGTTGAAAAAAAGATTGGTTCCTTGGTTAATTATGGTAATCTAACCCTTGTAAACGACTTTATTAATAAAAATAACCTTTTTTTTAAAAAAAATGACCACTTGCTTCAGAATATCGTATTCCGAAGTTCGTACGGCCATTCCGGAGTTTGGTCGTACAATGAAGTTGGTGGGTGGTTGGTAGGGTTTGGGTCTGGAATCTGACATCGTCGTTCGTTTCGAACTGAAAAGTGCATTCCGAACTATAGCTCGGAATGACCGTACATTCCGGAGAGGCAAAAATAGGGCATTTGTGTGTTTTTCTACCTTATATGCAGTCCGTTTGTTTGTTTGGTAGTTTTCTTATACGTTCTGGAATGAATATGTATATAGCAGGGGCAGACCTAGGGGGTCCATGGTGACACCGACAACCCCTAACTTTTCCGGCTGCAATGGAAAATTTTTTGAAAATTTTATTTTTTCTAGTACCGTGCAACCCTTGACTTTCCATGCAACCCCTACTGTGAAATCCTGCGTCCGCCCCTGGTATACAGAATTCTTTCGAGTGTCAGTTTCTAGTGGAGGACAATGACAACGTATCGAGAGATCTATGTAGTATATTGTTGTAGACTGCACATGCTTTGGTGTAGATATAAGCAATGATATCAACTTCGTTGGGTTAATTACGTTGGTTGTTTCCAAGTCCAGGTTACATACTAATCAAATACGTCTATTTTTTTTCAATTTCCTGGATCAAATATAGTTATGCAGATTCTTGACAATAGTGATGTCATATATTTTCTTAGTTTTATTAGTAGCATGACTCCTAATACAATACAATTGTTTGTTGTTAATAATGTTATGGAAAGTGATATTCATCGATTTGTCGGGGAAAATCGTTTTAGTGGAAATGGGTCTTCCGGTGCTGGAAGTAACCAAATTTGTAAACATATGACAACCAACCATGTTCCTCTTACAATGACTCTATTTATGGGGGTGGTTATAAGTATACATGTAAGGCTATTGATGATGTTTCTCCAACAGTTGATGTTGATGAATCTGCAAATGATTAGCAAAAACTAATGTTGTTGGTGGATGATGGTAATATAATTCCACATGGAGAGCCACTTGAACATTTTCAGAGTTACATTGAATTTGATGGAGATGATATTGAATGTGAACAGGAGGAAGCTGATCCCTTACAACCTTGAAAACCACAACATGAAAAGTTTCCTTATTATTTTTCCGATTTTGAAGAAACACAAACCACCTATTGGGGTATGCATGAACCTTTACCATTGCCCGAATTAGATCAACAAAAACGTAAATGTGAAGTTATTACAACTCTTCAAAAGCAAAGAACTTAAGCTTAATTTAGGATTCAAAAGTGTTACTAAAGGCTTCTAATATAGAGTGTCAAAATCTACAAAAGACAGGTTTGAAGCTGTTTGCTTTATGAAAAATTTTGACTGGCGGATACAGGCAACAAAACAAAATACTATTGATACATTTCAAGTGGTTAAACTATCGGAGAGACACACTTTCTCAAACACTTAGCTACGTCCCCATCATCGACAAGCCAACAAAAAAGGTATTGGGTCACTTCTTGAAGGGCATATTAGCTGATAGTATGTAATATGTTGCGGGGGAAACAAATCCAACGAACTTTAAATGACCGTCTTAGTGTACATATTTCATACCGACAAACATGAAGTGCTAACATGTATGCTCTAAATCTGTTGAGAGGGAGCCATGAAGAAAACTTTCAAAGACGTTTACACATATAAAGACAACTTATGACAACAAATTTGAATACTTTTTCATGGCTATCGGTTATGCGGTAATATTTCTTATATAATGAGTTCTTTATATTTATTGTTGTTACACGTGTGATCGCTTTAATGAGTAATATATTAATGTTAATTACTTTTGAGGTTCGAGCATTTCAAACTTGTTTGCGTCCTATTATTATCATTGACGGAGCACACCTTAAAAGGAAATATTTGGGCACGATGTTCCTAGCAATAGGCATGGATGGTAATAACCAAATCCTCCCTATTGCTTTTGGTGTTGGGAAAACTAAAAATGAGGAGTCATGGATATGGTTTTTATCAAGACTCAAAGAAGGTAGTGGGGGCAGGCCCTCTTTGGCTATCATATTAGATAGAGCAAATTCAATTGAAATGACCATTCAAGCTGTGTTCCCGAACGCATATCACAGACTCTGATGTAGTCATTTGTTGATGAATATGAAACAAAGATCGGCAAACAATAGAGAACAAAGATTTTGTTTTGGGAGGCTATAAAAGTTTACTGTCAGTCTGATTTTAAAGAAAGCTTGGGTAGGCTACATCGTGCCCTTAACAAAGATTGTCGTACATGGCTAGACATAATCGGTTACAAGAAATGGGCAAGGTCGTGTTTCCATGTGGTTCGACATAATAGTATAACATCAAACAACGTTGAGTCCATCAATGCGTTATCAAGAGACACACAAAAACTACCAATAACAATGTTTATTGATTTCTTTTTGAGTAACTATGCAACAATGGTGGTGTCGGCGACATAATGCTGGAGGTAACTATTTATATTATAATACTTCCATGATAATTATAGTATAATTTTTTGTGCATGACAACATGTACGTAAATTTTTTTTATAGCTGAAAGCAAAAAAGATATTACTGAGTGTGCTAAGAAGGTTATCGATAGAAGGATCAACAAATCCTCTGGTTTTCGGATATACCACATTGATCAAACAGATATGAGGTGACCGACCGAATGAAATTTGGTATAATAAACTTAGAATCTCGTTGTTGCACGTGTGGGAAATGACAGTTATCAGGTATACCTTGTTCTCATGCTATGGCGGTATTCAAGGAACTGAGATATCAACTGTAACGCCCGTGTTTCGGGGCTAAGCATTAGTAGATGATGTAATAGTCTAGGTCAACCATTGTAACCCATTTTAAAGTAATAAAGATGAATTACTTGAATATTATGTGTATTATGTGCTTTTGTGTGATTATTACTTGTTTATAATAATATAATAAATAAAGGATAAAAATAAGCATCAAAAAATAAAATGTTAGATAAACCCGATATCTATGAAGAAAGTTTTAGTAGTCGTGACAAGGATTCCGGAGATAAAAAGAACGCTGAAATCCGAGTTATAACGAAGAAGTTATGGCATGTCGAAGTTTTACGGCAAAACCGGCACGACACCAGGAAACGTAAATAGTGAATTTACGATAGAAGACTTTTTAGACTTAGAAATCTAAACAAATGTTGTAGTATACTTTAAACCGAGAGCGTGCATAAAAAGAACGCCCAAATCTGACTTCGTATGAGGAAGTTATGATTTTTCTAAGATTTGGCATAGCAGTGCACAACCCGAAATTCGAATTTTAGATCGATCGGTTTTTGGCCAACGCAACCTAAATGAGAATTGAAGATCTCATTAAAAGGAGCTTAACAATAAAAGATAGACGAAAACGGAGTCCGTATGTAGAAGTTATGAATTTTACGTAGTTATTTAACAGTATAATCTTCTCATACTGTTAAATTTAAAATCAGTTGAGAATTAGCCGACGGAGTCAAAAGGAAAGTTGTAGATCTTGTCTTTACCTACGCGTGGATATAAAGAACGTCAAAAACGGAGTTCGTATGCGAAAGTTATAAATTTTTAAAGATTGGTTGTTTTACCTACGTCCGACGCCACGTGTCAGCACCAGACTTCGCCTTGGAGCCTACGCAAGGCTCACGACGTGAGCACCCTTTCTCACGACATGAATCGGCCCAGACAGCCTATAAATAGAGGCACAAATCACCCCCAAAACACACACCTTTCATACCCTTTCTCTCCCATTACCCCCAAAACCTCTCTTCCATTCCCTAGTACTTCCTAAGTGCTAGAAGCGAGTCCCGGAGAGCCCGAAGGCTCCAAGAAAAAGAGTTTTTCGGCTTGAAACTCTGCCCGTGCAGAGCCCCGTTTTCAAGCAAACTTCCCGGTTTCGTCAAAGAAGATTATTTTTAGAAGCGAGGTGCTGTCCGAATCACTCCGTATCAGGTGAGTGTATAATCACTTTCATCTTACACATAGATATGAAGTATTTTATATAAATTATGTGCTATGTGTATATATATGTTATCTGTTTACCTGAGATGTTTGCTGGATGAAAGATCTATACTTCTTTCTTTCAGATATGAAACTTTTTCCTTCAGATCTACACTTTCTCATCTCAGATCTAAACTTTTTCTTCATATCAAAACTGTATACTTTGAGATCTATGTTGGATGAAAGATCTAAACTTCTTTCTTTCAGATCTGAA